ACAAAACACAAAAAAACAAACCAAAACAAACCAAAGCAAAACAAAACAAAACAAAAACAAAACAAAACAAGAGAAAAACAAAACGAAACAAATAACGAAACAAAGCAAAGCAAAGCAAAACGAAACGAAAACAAAAGCACAAAACACATCAAAACAAAAAACCTCCTTTATTTACTCTGTACATTTGTTAGCATAAGAAACGAAAATTCATGGCTGACTTAAAAGAGGTCAACTGATATTGAATATCACGCGATCTGCACGATGCACAAACCTTGCCGTTTGTTCCATTTCCTCGGCATCCATTGCATCTCTCAGTTGTTTTTGATTCTCTTTCCTCATTGCTTCCGAATTGGCTGCTTGGTGTTSTTTTTCATCCGAGTCTGACTTGTGCGTCTTGCCGATGAAGTATCCAATAACAATACCAATGACAAATAAAACCACCAGAACAAGGATTGCAACAATGCAGCGACATCTTCGTTGTTTTTTGGTCTTTCGATTATGCAATTGTACGTCATCGAGATCCATTTTTGATTGAGGTTCTTTTTAACAGACACCTAACACCCGATATAAGCCGCGTTGAAAGTGATGCTACACTACAACTCAAAGTCTCTAATCAAATAGAGACGCACGGCGTGTATTCAAATGAGGTTTTTGCATGGCTCGATGATTTATGTTAATGTTAGATATGAACTTGAGATACAAGGGGTTACAGATTTGGGAAATTTGGGTTTCCTGTGTTTGCAAAAACTTTTTCATGGGGGAGGGGAGGGTGAGGACATAGAGGATTACCACATGGATGGAGAGAGAGCGAGTTTTCTTCTGATATGCTAAAACGCCAAGCATTAATAATAAATAGTATTTATATAGCGCAAAAAAAATTATACTGACATGCTGTGGAAAACAGATGAAGTAACTTCATATTGTGTATGTTGTACAAAAAAAAACTACATAAAAAATCTTGTGATAAATCTGAATTTTTCCGACTTTGAGACTAAGTCTACTGTACTTAAAAAAACCCGCTGAAGTTACTTCATTTGTGCATACTGGGTTAGTTTCAATCCGCAGAAACTATTCAAATTTTGGTAAGATCAGTTTTATGAGGTCTATTGCGCAAGAGAGTCTGTTGTTAAATAAACCAGCGGTCATTCGCTTTTAAGCAGGCACATTCAAGCTATTACAGCTTAAATCAAACAATATTTTCACAGGTTTGAAGTGCACACTCCTATATAGCCGTGAAACAGACATACAATCAGAACCTCCCACCAATAGTTCTCTTGGGAAATACGTTGTCCGATATAGAAAAGCACTGGGATAAAAAGGCCTTTGCAAGCGTGTCTCACGCTTCTTACACTTGCTTTCAAACGCTTCAATCTCACTTATGTTTTTATACAGATTTAGTTCCTAAAAACAGCTTGTCATAGCTGTGTTGTCCTGACTGTAGTTTAAAGAATAATTCAAGCATATTTTTTGGTATTCTGCAAAATGTTAATAATCAGTGCATGCAGCAGCCGAAAAGATGTCGACGGTTTCATACCGTAAATACTTCACTGAATTGCCAGTTAAGCAGAAATCTTCTCGCCCAGCCCTGGCAATGGAATATGAAGTACGAATTAAAGCAATAGAGAGAAAATAAGAATTTTCGGTGCTTAAAAGGGAGCTTATTCAAAGGCGTCCGTATAGGAGAATGTCTACTGTTTTTTACTAGTCTTACTGGTAGATGACCTGCACAGAGCGAGGTAGTTTGAACGATGTCAAGACTTTGCACAGGTTGTCTTTTGTGAACTGTTCACCCTAAGGGAAACAACAAGAAAATACAAGTCAAACTAGTCAAACCTGTTAATCAAAAACGACAAACTTCTATTTCTTCTTTTGGTATTTAATTTTCTCATAAATTGAACTAGTTGTATCAACATTTCTAAAATTAACAACGACGTGAATTACACGTTCTTGAGTTTAGTTTGATGAGCTGAGGCGTCCGTCGGTGGTTAACTTTCCCTAATTTCATAAAATTTGTAGTCAAAATGACTGAAATTATGAGATTTATTTATGTAAATAGCATCAAGGGACAGAAAAGCAACTAGGTAAGTGATTTTTATAGTATATTTTGACTTTTTAACTTAATAATATCATAAGAAAATTTAAAATATTGGATAATTTATTCGCTTAATATTTTTCTGCGCAGTGGCGTGTGGTTGTCTTCCGCCAYAGTCCATTGTCTTTTCACTAATTCGAAATACAACACCCACACTACCAATGTTTGAAGCTAATTGCTCTTTAAAGAAGATAAAAGCAATATATTTTACTATCGTATGCAGAAATAAAAGTAATCCAGCCTCTGGGGTTTGTTTATGATGTTTGTGTAATAATTTCTTTTGTGTTTGTTTTGATAGAACACTGAAGACATTGGTTCTAATGGCCAATGAACCTGTAAAATACATTTTAGCGAAATACGCTTAAATTACTTATTATTTCGCACGTTTTCTTTATCCTCAGTAAATCACATTTTAATTATTTCAGATTGCAGTAGCCGGTGTCTGTTACACGGTTTAATGAAAATCACTATTATATTTATCTTTATTTTGGATGTTTTTCTCTGTTTTCATAGTGCATCATACTTTTATAACATTTTGACCATTAAATTTTGTTTCACGAGTTTATGAAAACCAGTATACGTTTGTTAACCCCCCCCCCCCCCCCAACCAGAACAAGAAAGGAATTGTACCACCTCCCCCTGGAAACAATTTTGGCGGTAATATACACCTACTTGCGAAAACGTTGTCATAAAAAATAGGTCATTTGTATTTTAGTAAAAAGGAATAAATTAAAAAGACAAAAGAAGATCACTCAAGGCTGAACGCTTTCTTTTGTCTTGTTTTAATTTAGTTCCTTTCTACTAAATTCAAATGTTCTATTTTCTATGACAACGTTTTTGCAAGTAGGTGTATACAGCCCATTCATATTAGCATCACGTTTTCATTTCGCTTACAGATTATCTATGCTAAAATCGCCCACACTGCCACAACTTCGTAGCGTGATCCGTGCACAAGGCCACAAAAAAAAATTATATATATATACAAAAACGAAACGTAAACGTTCCAGTGTGGACGAGACATAGTACGTTTCCGTAGCGGTTTATATTGTTATGTCAAGGGAATAAAAAACAATGCAAAAACCTTACGTAAACGTACCAGTGTGAACGAGACACAGTGCGTTTCCGTAGCTAATTTTAGTGTTCTCGGTCATCGAGGGAATTAGAAAGAATACAAAAACGTTACGTAAACGTACCTCAGTGTCTTTGAGGGAATGAAAAATAGCACAAAACCGTACATTGCTTTTAATTCCCTTAAGGACAAATGACATGCTATATATGTATATACAAGTCCAYATTTCTAACCAAATCTTAATTCTCTGCAGTGATTAATGCTTAACCTTACAGAAGAAGCTAAACTCGGCATAGCTAGCGGAGCGCTTGGAATTCTACTCCTAATGATAATTTGCATGGCGTGTAAAATCAGAAGGCTTCGTAACGCCCCCGTTTACAATGACGAAGCCATTAACGTCAAGACGAAAAAAAATCCTTCAAAGCAACATCCTAAATGCGACGATTGTCAAATGGAAAAGATGCCAGAGGTGATTCTACCKTTGAAAGTTCGAAGTGGAAGCTTTATGAACCCGAAAAGAGAAAAAGGAATGGTTAAATTTACACTGGAATATCATGAGGAATTCCAGAAACTTCTAGTTACATTAATACAAGGAGTMAAYGTAGTCGGCCGAGACTTCTGGGACACCGTTGACTGTTACGTCACTTTAAATATTGAACCAGAATTCAGCGAGGAACACAAAACAAAGGTCGTGAAAAGAAAACTTCATCCTGATTTTAACGAAACGTTTGAGTTTAGTGTTGAATTTGCGGCTCTCAAAGAAAAAACTCTTGTTATGACTGTGTGGGAGATTGATAAATATACACGRCATCACGTGATTGGTCACGTGAGGGAAAAGCTTGATCACGTGGTTAAGGTGAATCATGTTTATGGTGTTGATCGTCAAATAAAGGAGCATCGTACGGTAAGTTGGGAGCATTCACGCAAGGGGTTAAAAATAGAGGCCCTTTCTTTTTTCGGGTCTTCATAGACAATTCACGGACTTTCCATACCGCACATCTTCAAGAAAGCTTTGAACTGAGGCTTCGAGGTATAATGAGAGCAGATCTTTTTTATGATGACTGTGCCCTTGACGTCAATGAACCCCGTTTCCATGGCCTTTATCCAAGAGGAGAAAAGGTCCTGGTATCGGCCGGTCAAATATTGAGTTTTGAATGGCCTGCTAATGTATTCAGCAGTATTCCATAAAAACACCCAGCTGGGGCTTTCTCGGTCCGCCATATTTCGAAAAGAAAAGAAAAAAGAAAGAAAGGGAGAAAGAAAGAAAGAAAGAAAAAGCCTTTTAAAGGAAAAAGGTTTCATTTTCTCACCATTCATGAACCTCCGAATCTCCTGGTTCCCGAATTATATTTCGAAAAGAAAAGAAAAAAGAAAGAAAGGGAGAAAGMAAGAAWGAAAGAAAAAGCCTTTTAAAGGAAAAAGGTTTCATTTTCTCACCATTCATGAACCTCCGAATCTCCTGGTTCCCACTTTTAATTTAGGATAACTTTCATTCATATATTTTTAATGTATTTTAGGACCAAATCCAGTTAGGTGAAATACTGTTTTCCCTTTGTTACCTACCGACAGCGGAAAGACTAACRATAGTCATCATGAAAGCAAGAAACCTAAACCCGCCATACGAACAATGGAGGTCTGGGCCGAGACCACTAAGTATGACGTCATTCATTTATTAGAGGGGGGTAACTACATTAGAGAGGGTATTGTTAAAGTGTTTCGTTTTGTGATTTCCATTGTTGTTTGATTGGCTGTGATTTTCTTTGCTTTAACGTAATAGATTGAGAAAAGTATGCCTTTCTTTAAATATTTTTTAAAAGTGACGATGGATTTCATTATTTACAACAGATCCTTTCGTAAAAGTAGTCCTACTATTCGATGGTCACAAAATCAAGAAAAAGAAAACTTCATCGCGGCATCAAGACCGCAATCCAGTGTACAACGACGCCATGATGTTCGACATTCCCATCCAACTTCTTCACCGTATCATATTTGTCTTATCGGTGGCTGACAARATGGCGGGAAACACAAGAAGCGACGTGATTGGTCGAGTCGTGATTGGCTCGCCTACGATCGGCGAAGCACTGAGCCATTGGCAGCAAATGTTGGTTTCACCACGTCGACCAATCGCTGCTTGGCATAGATTGACAATGTAGTAAAGGCTAAGCCAATAGGATTTTGGGATAGAATAACCAATGAAATGCATTGGATTTAGTGGTTACTCTTTAAACCACGTGATAATGACCAGCCAATTAATTGCTCTGTAGAATAAAAACCATTTCTAGAGAAAGCCACGATGGCAGATCGCACACTTTTATGCCCACAAAATCAAACATATCTGCATGGTTTTAAGTTTTTTTTTAATAACTATAAGGAAACGGATCAAATGCTGTTTTTTCAATGAAAACAAGCTTATTTTTATAACTTTTAAGGAGGTCAAAAGTGCGGAGACAACAAGAYTTCTCATCATATCTTGTTCTTGACGTGATCTTGTTCCACTTTGTTGCAAAAATAAAAAATAAAAAGACTTTGAGTTTTTTGTTCAGCTGTGTCTGCCACTAGAGATGGAAACGAGGATTTTATTATTACTGATGTAAATAGAAAATAATAGTTATTTACTATTACATAAATAAAAGAATTGAGACTATTGAACTGGCGTACTACCGCTATTGCAATAAGGGTAGAACCTCCAGAGATTCTGTTTGTATGCAGGTCAGGGCCGTTTATTAGAGACCGAGATTGTATGGGACTGTCCCTTATGGGTTTCTGAACCATGATCGTGTGTCCAGTTGGCTTGATCGTGTGTCCAGTTGGCTTGATCGTTAAGGAGACGTCATATCCTAAGTCACATAGACTTAGTTTAGCGGAACAGCTTATTTGTCCTCTTAGCGTTCTTTTTTACGGGCGCGATACGTCTACTGAATACGATCATTAGATGCGTTTGAATCGTTCGTTTCTTACGGGTTTCTTACGTTTTTTGCAGGCGTATTATTGCGTTCCTTATAGTACGGTACGTTACGTCTTAATGAATTAGGTCTGTTGTGCACTACTGAAACGTATGCCTTTTGTTCGAACTCATTRATGTCGATACGTTTGCGGTTTGATTGCGTGCGTCTTTACGTTTCACAGGACTCAAAGAGTGATAAGTGTGATACGTAAGCTCTTTTAATTTCTTTTGGATAAGATAAAATGCGTTTGTACGTGCGTGCAGTTAGCATCCTCTCATATAAATACGTTTTTACGCTACGGGATGATACGTACGTTTTTTCTATATCTACCAACGAAACCCATGCACGGTACATTCTACATGATTCATATACGCGCGTAGTTCAATATTTTCACGTTCGTGCGTATGGAGAAATATCTATACGTAAATTAACTCACAAAAAKAAATTGTCCGTAATCTTTACGTAATAAGTTCCTACGTTTCTKTAATCTTCTGGGAATAGAATTCTACCAACTTTTTTACGCAAGGGAGCGTCAGTTCTTTTGAACTCATTTGCATTTCTATTGGTCATTAACTTGCGTAAATCATATTGAACGCCTACTTGCAGGTCTGATTCAGTAATTGCATGTTCCTGTTGTTTCGCTGCTCAAGGTTTTGGCAAAATATTGTGGATATCTGAGAGTCTAACGGAATACATCAATCTAGTGTTGAAATGAGGGTTTCAAGCTTTCAACGAGGAATATAATTCATGACCCAGAACGTTTAGAATAGTAGAAGCCCTTCAAAGACACGCAATTTAAGCTGAACGGAACTAAAGTCACTGGAAACTGATCTTCCTAAGGAATACTTGGCGTCAACACGCCTCCACTTACAAAGTAAGCTTACAGCTGTACTAGATATTATTGAGAAATGTCCGTTTACTTGCTTGCATTATGTTATGAATGAGTTTAGATCATTCAAGAACTTTTAAAGTGAACTTCGCTTTAACTAAGTGATAATCAAAAAAGCATTTTAAAGTTTCAGATAGTTTTAATGGCCTGTTTTACGAGAAATTTCACAAATTATGACTAAAGCAACATGTCATACAAGAGTTTAGATTATCTTTAGGGCTTTTTTTTATTGAAAAATCTAAATAAACTTAAATATTTGTTATTTTTATAAAGTTATCGAAGCAAAACATTTAAACTTAAAGAATTTATAACAAAGTTTGCAAACTGGAATCAAAACGCMTTCGAGATATAGCATAAGTTATTGCTTGTTCATATACTCGCAGAGCTCAACACGACAGGTACGAAGATACCATTAAATATTGATAAATACGCCACAAAATCAAAATACAACTTTTCGCTTGTTCATCGAATCGTGAAAAATGGCCATTCGACAAGAAAACACTTAAAAACGGGAAAAAATCAACATAAATTGTCTACACCTTGACATTTTATGAAGGTTCATTTAAAACCCAAAGTTTATTGATGTTTTTTTGGGGGATCCGTTGGCCATTTGAGCGAAAAAAAGGCGTTATGTAGCAAGAACTAAGGTAATATCGCAATATTATRAAGCTGTTTTAGAAAATTGCTTGATTTGGATTTGGAAATGCKTTTTTATTCATCTAAAAGCGTAGAATTTGCTTTAAAACTAATTCTAAATATGTAAGGAACGACTATATTATTTGGTAAGGGAGATGCAATGAATAACTGCAATGATAGGACAGTCCGATTTATTCTTAAAATGGATATACAATTGCAAACCCTAATATGTATTTCATCATTTTAAAAAAAATATTCGAATTTATAATAAACTTGTCTTAGAAGCTCTGTACCTAGATGTCAAAATATATCCTTTATTTTAATCGAAAATTTTGTATATATTTGTTTGCATATTTGCCATATTGCTTGTTGCTATACGACACTCTCAAGTCGACTGTCTTTAGAGAGGGTTATGTCACTAGCATTGTTCATGATATCAGGWTAACAATAGCCTATTGTACTCTTAACAGACTAATTTGCATGACTTTGTTATAATTGACACTGCTCGCCATGTGGTTTTGACAAATATATATCAATTTAAAGCCATGCAAGCCTGAAATTAAGCTGTTTCGAATTATATTTCCTACTAGACGGTTCGTAGAGTATTTTCCAAGGCAGCTTTTAAACTAAATCTATATTTAGCTGTCTCTTTATGCTTTCATGCAAATATATTGATTCCAAAGAGATCAAGGACATTACAGATTCATACAGACATGTGCAACGATGCACTAGAGTGCTGACACTATGTCCAAGAAAAAAACCCTAAATAGTTACTAAAAAATACTGTACTATAGTACTTTTAATTACTATTAGCCACTATCATTCATTGCTGGAACCGATTTAGCCAAAAAAAGCAATTAATACACAAGGAAAACTATCAGTTTTCTGTCTTAACATTATTATCAAAAATTATTGCTGATATTTTTTTGAGAAAGTACTCATTCTGGGCAACTCAAAAAATATATCAGTCATGATATCCCATAATATTTAAGGTCAGTTTGATATATATGAAATATGGCAGAGGGGGTCAGAATTATTGCAAACAGCTCATTTTATTTAGTGACTATTTCAAAAAGGTTGTCTGGTAGAACACAAATGTCGATTTTCGAAGCGAGAATGCTTGACCAAACATGTTCTAGTTGAATGGCAGTTTTCTAAGGCTATTTTGATATATATGAATATTAGTGTAGGGGGGTCAGAATTATTGCAAACAGCTGTATACAGCCTTTTGCAAGAAAAATTATGAGAATTGTCTAAATATCTAAATATCATAATATCCAAATCCATATATTGTCCAGAACACGCGAGTTTGCTAGAATAATTCATTGTTGACATCGAGAAAATGTTCAGAACTACGGATAAGTCAAAAACAAACTAAACTACAAATACAAGGGACTAAGGGCATCGAGCGGGATTACCCATCATGCACTCGATATTATGATATTTAGATATTTCAACAATTCTCATAATTTTTGCAAAAGGCAGTATATATATATAATATATATATGATATATATATATGTTCCATGACTGATCGAGCAATTATGTATACATATATTTTCATGGACATAATGTAAGCACTCCAAGGTTTATTATTATCAAAAATTAATTCATATGAGCTTGCAGTCCTTGGCTATGCATGTTGTATAAAAATCAACCAACCAACCCTCATCAGCTTTCGCGATCGGTCATCCAACATGGGTGCGATAGCTGCGTTTTTTGTGGATCATATACACCAATTTCAAAAAGGTTATCTGGTAGAACACAAATGTCAATTTTCGAAGCGAGAATGCATGACCGAAAAGGACTATGGTTACTCTGTTTCACGTACAGAATATCACTTTAAGGGCTCATTTCGAGTGAAAATGGAGACTAAATGGAGCCAATGTCTACTACTTTGTGGGCACTAGGCCTAAGTAATGAATACAGCATATTGTTGTTTGCACGTTACCTCGAAGTGGCCATCTTGGAGGAACTTTAACAAAGAAGTTCTCATAAGTATCCATTGTCCATACCTCCAACATGGCCGCCGGTCTTTTATCTTTTGAATCTCATGGGAATGGTTGAAAACAGCAATTGTTTGGATAAAGCATTCACTTTATCTTGTGCCAATTTTATTTGTCAACAGGCCAAATATCTTGACCAAAAAACAATGGAGAGGATACCAGCAGATACTGAATTTGAATTCTAAAGGACGAAGTGTATGATGGGAAATCTCGTGAGCAATGACTACGAGAATGACGTCAGGGGTAATCATTTGGAATCACCAGCCAAGGAAAGCAAGGGGCAAACCACAGCTGCACCCAGTGTCAGCCAGGGAACCAAGTCTGCAGGGTCTATTTTTTCTCAAGGTATGAATGTGTGTAAAGTTGATAAACTTAATACAGGAGAAGCCGACGGGGTCTGTTCTTCTAAATAACTGTTCTTGTACGAACTTTTTAGCTACATTGTTAGCAATCTCACAAGCAAATTTGGCGCCCTTCCTTCTTTTGAAATAATTTTGTTCCTGGCAAAACACTTTAAGGTCAAAAAATGCATATATAACGTTTTCATGGTCAAAAACGGCTCATACTTTTTGTAAGTTAGGGAATATCTATTTTCCCGGAAAAAATTCTTAGAAAGTATTCCCTTCCTGGTGAGTTTTTTTCTTGAATTTCTCGCTGGCAACCAGTTGTGACTTACAGCTGGCTGGGACATAAGAACAGATATATTTCTCCCAGGAACCCGTCGACTCCTCCTATTAATATAAAATACGTAGTCGAGGAGGGAGGATTAAAGCAAATATTGTGTGTAATAACAGTCATAGTGTCAGCTGCTTTGGGTTTTCTAAAGAAACAGTTGAGTAAAATGGTTAACACCATAAAAAAAGTTAGTCTACTCTAGCAGCCGTTACAAGGCTCGTTCCCAGGTCACTCTCCTCTAAGTGGGAGAGAACTGGGAACGAACCTCGTAACGGCTGCGACAGAAGACTATTAAAAAGTAGGTGAGACAACTTACTGACGTAGGAGCTCCTATTAGTCTACTTTCTTTGCTCGTCTCATTATATAACCTCACACTTAGCCTTAGCCTAATTTCACCTCTTTTCTCCGACGAAGGATTAACGTCCAAAATGTCAGTTAATTGTTTCACCTATTTTTTTACGGTGTTAAATTTATCGTTTTACACAACTGTGTTTCAGTGTTAAAAGATTGCATCCTACACTGAATAAAATGACTTCTCCACGAGTAATGCTATGATTAAACATGCTTAG